GGCCTCGGGGCGGCCCTGGCCGTGGGCGGGAGGGGTAGGTGGGTCCTGGTGGCCTGACGGCCGGGCCGGGCCGGCCTCTCAACTGACACCGGGCCGCCGGGCCTCCGGCCGCTGGCCTGCCCGCGTGCCTCTCATTCCCCAAAGACCCGGGACAGCGGTGCTCCGTGTCCGGCCGCCCGCCCGCCGCGGCCAGCTGCAGCTGCCGCCAGGGGCTGCCCCCTCCCACGTGCCAGGGGCCCGCACAGCTCCGCCAGAGCCTCTCGCCTGCTGCTCTGGAGGGTCGGTTCCAGCCCGCGCCGCCCAGCGCCAGGCCTGCTCCCTCCCACCACTCTCCCTCCTGTGACACCCCTGCTGCACCCTGTGGTCAGTGCCGGCTGGGCCCAGGCTAACCCAGAGGGTGGACAGGCGGGCGGACGATGGGCGGTCAGAAAGCCGGACGTGGCGCAGCGCGACAGCGCCTCCCCCAGCGTCAGAGTGGACCTTCTGGGGCAAGCTGGTCCCATCAGCCACAGGCTTGAGACAGGCCCCTGAGGATGCAGGTGGCCCGGAAGAGGACACCAGGCAGGCGCCTGCGGGGACGCACAGCTCTGGCCTGCGAGCAGCCGCCGCCACCAACCGCTGGAGAGGAGACGCCAGGGCTTCCCGGAGACACCGGGCACTGCGGCGGGGTGCGGCCTGTGGCTGCGGGGGACAGCTACGATGGGGGGGTCACCTGCGGCTGGGGGGCTGCCAGGGCGCTCGGGGTGCTCCTGAAGCCGGCTGGCCTCCTCCCCCGCGGAGCGACCCCGGGGCTCGGGCCCCGCTGGTGTCTGCCTGGTGAGAGGCACCAAGAACCAACAGCGGGGCGCAGGGCTGACCCCACGACGGCCTCCACTTTACGTCGGCTAACGCAGCTAGAACTTCCTGGCAGCGTTCGGGCTCGGAGGGCTGGCAAGGGGTCACCAGACCGAAAGAGAATGGCGTGGTCCTGTCTCACGGACACAGAGACACTGGCGGGCCTTTATTCGGTGTGTATCTGAATCCCATGCTGCGCGGGAAACACCTGCCGCACCCTGTGGGCCGTCCGGACGGTCGGGGTGGGGAGACACGAAGCAGGCTTGGGCCGCGAGAGGCACACGGCCACCAGGACTCGAGTTACTGCCGGGACCGGGAGTAAGGGTCCCGCACACGGCAGATGAGGACGGACGGGCGGCCAGAGGGCCACGGAGCCCCTCGGCCTGAGTCGGGCACTGAGGTGACCAGTAAGCCACCTGGTCGAGGGGCTGGAGAGAACAGCCCGGGGGCAGGCGCCAACGGGGGGCCGAGGGCGGAGGGGTGGGGTGGGCTGCCCCGCCGGCCCGCATGCTGGGTGAACGTGCTGCCAGGACGTCCTGTCTGCCAACCAGTTCTTACATGCGCGCTGTAAACAGTGCCCAGCGTGTCTCCCCCAAACGTCCACTTCCAACTACTAAGAAGAGCAGAGGGGGGGCCCCGAGCTGCCGCTCAGCTCGGCCACCCTGCGCCCTGGCCTGGATGGCTTCCCGCGGCGGCGGGCACAGCGCCAGACTTCCCCAGCAGAGGGCGCGAGCCAGGCGGAGCAGGGCAGCTGTCTGGCCACGCACCCGCCCCCAGCCCGACCTGGCCAGCAGCTCCGAGCCGCGTCAGTGGCTGCTCTGCCAGCACGGGGCCGGCCTGTGACCTCTCCAGCGAGGCCTGGACGCCAGCCTGGACAGCCTCTCACTCGGCCTCGCTGCTCCCACATTCTTAAAAGCCTGCCTGCCTCTGACGGCAAGCCCCCAGCTCCAGGGAGTCGCGCTCCTCTCCAGCCAGCCCTGCCCGCGGCTTCGCCCTGCCGGGTTAGCGCGACCTCAGTCCTGTCGATAAGCTGGTGGTGTCTCAGAACTGTGGCACGAATAAGCAGAGCCCACGAGGTGCCATCCGCCTGCTCTGGGCACTGGCACAGCTGGCCCGGGCGCCCCGTGGGCTCCTCCCGCCTAGTCACTGGCCGGGGCAGATGGAGGCGAGGGGCCGCGCCAGCCTGACCCTGAAACGGGCGCAGGTGAGGGCCGCAGGGAGGGGTCCGGCAGGCGTGACCAGGTGTCGGCGCCGGCGAGTGGGCTGTGATGACGTCACGGAGATCCCTGGCGGCCAGGGCCGGGCGCAGGCGCCATCCCGCGCAGCTTACGGGGCGCGGCCGCCCACCAGCCTCGGCCCCCGGGGGGCTCGGCCTCTCCCCCTTCACGGCTTCTCCCCGAGCGGCTGGCAGGGGCAGGAAAGGCTCCGGCGCCCGGTGTGCAGCAGCCACCTGCGAGCGCTTGGTCGGGGCTCCGGGGGCTCCTGGGACGGGCTCAGCGCCAGCCCGGTCTGACAGGCGCGTGGCCCCGGGAGAAAGGCGGCCGGGCCGGGCGCGCAAGCCGCACCTGGAGCGCGTGCGGCCCGGGCCCTCCTCAGGGACGCGTCCAGCCTCCGGTGGACACCACCCACCAGGGCCCTGATGCGACACGGGGCGTGACGGCCGCTTGCACGGAGGCGCAGGGCCGGAACAGGCGCTGGTCACTGGACAAGCGGCTGACGGCCAGGCCCAAAGGCAGCGTGGTCGAGAGGCCCGAGGCCGGCCAGGCCCCGCGTCCGCGAGGCCAGCTGGGACCCAATCTGCTCACAGAGGGCAGCACGGGGGCGGCCGCGCCAGGCGCCAGCGCTCGTCCGAGCCCACGACCGGGTCTGGGGGCTGGACACACCCCCCGGCGCGCCCTCGGCTTCCTCCAGCGAGTGAACGAGTGAGCGCTCCTCGAAGGCGGCGGGAGCAGGAGCCGCGCCGGGAGCCCACGCGGCCCGCAGGGACACGCAAGGCGGCGCCGCCCACCACGGGACACGCGCACGCCTGGTCTGCTACCGGACACCGGCGCGCGTGCGAGTCGCCAGGGGCCGGGCCCACACGCCGCAGCGTGGTGTGGCCGGGGGCCCGCAAACGGCAAGGAGCCGGGGGAACCTGGGCAGGGCACGGAACCCCCGAAGACCCCACTGCACCCCACGGGGCAATCTGCTGCAAAGGCTGACGTCACCGAACCTGAGAGGCCCCTCGTAAGCGCCATCACCGTGCCCCGAGAGGCGGCCGCGGGCGGAGACGCGCCCCTCCCCCCGTGCTCTCCACTGTCTCCCAGGACACGGACACCGACGCCTCTGACACGACACAGGGACTGTCCGGCCCTGTGCCACTGCCGGGTGAAAACCAACCACGCAGGAGGCCGGCTGTTGTGCTGGCTCGGCCGCCTCTGCCCCTCCTGGGCTGAACGAGTCCAGCTGGACTCTGCGTCCAGGCGGCCGGGCCAGGCAGGGGCGGTGCCGCAGGCAGCCCGGCGTGACCGGCGAGACCGCGCGGAGGCGGCCCCACTGGGCCCGGGGCGGCCCGCACCGGGATGGGCGCAGCCGCTCGGTGGCTCCGGACCCAGAGGAGACTCAGGCGTCTGGGAGAGCTGCGAGTCCGAGCCGGGGCACCAAGGCCCCGCAGGGCAGGCGCTGAAGGGGCCAGAGCAGGGGCTGGGCCGGGCCCTGGGTCAGGCCCGCCGCCACTTACGCCTCATCACTTGTGAACGCCTGGCGCAATGTTTTAGGGGTGAGGACACCCAGCGAACAGGGCACAGGCCCGTTATTAAGGCGCCTACAGTTCAGCGAGTAAACAAACACGGCAATTCCTGCTGTGAAGGCACAAGACGCCGGAACGGCGTGGCCGCTCAGCTTGGCGGAGGGTGCTGGCATCAGGACAAATTCCAGCCGGGTGGGCTCTCCCCAACGCACAGGAGCGCTGCTCGCCCCCGCGACACGCCGGCCCGTACGGAGCAAGTCGTGTTACCCTGGAAC